GTTTTGAGATCTGTCAGGAAAATGATTATTCCTTCAGCCCTCAGTTATTTGAAGTTAATGTTAGGGATTGCCAGTGCACTCATTTCCATTTTCAGCTTGTTTTGACTTTTCAGCCTTTTATTTTTTTATTTTTTTAATAAATACAATCAGGCTTTAATTCAGGACATTTGATTAATCAAACTCAGACCATCTGCTGCAGTCCTGTCTCCTGCTGATCTGCATTGCCTGAAGTCAGTGACATGCTTCAGGGCTGCAGTCTCACACTGTCTCTTCCTCTGTCAGCTGTCTTATTGCTAATCTGCTCTTTTCACCCAACACAGAGTGACTGGGCTTTGTTTACTGTTGATGACCATTTACGATAGTTGTAATGCTAGACAATTTGTATCAAAATACAGTACGTGCAAAATCCAGTTATACAACAAACACATCAGAATGAAAATAGCATGAACCAAAGATACCCCGGTAATGTAAAAAGAAAAAACAACCAAAAGAAACCTCCTCACTAAGACAACTCAAATATTTTCTGTAATAACATTAAAAGCAATTTTAGGTTCAGCTTTAATTTTAAACTTCCTACCAGTAACAGGGACTCTGCATTCACGTGTTGATTTCCCTCTCATGTTCAGAAATTGACTCTGAAACTCAGACTGAAGGTCTGTACAGAGATAACTTGCACAGCTTGGAGATTTTGATGGGAATACACCAGTTTTGTTCTAACAGAACACTTTCTGGTCATGGCTGGTTGTATTTGAAAGGGAAGGGGAAATATGCCTCTTCAACAGCTGCACCATCCACGAGGTCCGTAATTGCTTTCAGAGACTGTCAGGTTCAGAATTAGCACGGTTAGAAGGCAGTAATGGATAGGAGAGTGACCAGTCCCTACGTAAAACCTTGATTTTATTAATGCATAGGCCTTCTGCAGAGGGATAAACATCATCTCTCTTGTTGTCAGATGTTAGAGTCAGTCTCAAAAGTCAAGAAGGAACAGCACCTTCAGAGAACAGGCCCCCCTTCAGCATCAAAGCTTTTCAGAAGAAATCATTACATTAGATATTGAAAGCATAGATATACAGAGATATTTGACTGCTGTGTTTCTGAATGCTTGAGAATGGGATATAATACACTCATAATACTTGAGCATGGGGGAATTCACCAAGAGGTTTATTACTGTATGACCAAAGAATCAAAGCTCTCCTAAGCCAAATATAGCACAGAAGAAGAGGTCCATGTGCAGCTCTAGGAATGGATAGGGTAAACAAACAAATAGAGGGAGAGAAACAGGAGCCCAGAAATGTCAAGATTGCAGAGAGTAATAGCATCCACCCTTTTGAGGCAGGGACTGGTTTCCAAATGCATTATATCCTGTTATTTTCTTAGAAGCAGTTTTACTAGCAGCAAAGAAATGGATGGAAGTCTGCATCATACTGACTTTGTGATGAAACTACAAGAAAGGTTTGTCACCCTACTTAAGTGGTCACAAAAATGCAGTGCTATTTGCCATGATACTCAGCAGCAGAGTATATGGGCTTCTCTGTACTTCCACAGCATTTTGCCAGCCAGGAGGCACAGGAGGCAAGAAAAGCATGCAGTTTCCACACAGGGTTTTGGTTTACATGGGAGAAGAGAATAGTGTGGAATTCAGATCAGAAATCCCAGAGAAACACACCCAGAGAAGCTCGCTTCTACCACTCATCAGTTACTGCCATGGACAAGGCACAGCTCTGCACACCCTTGGGTTTGAGCCAGCCCTTGCTGGTACCTGTGGAGCTCCATAAGGGACTGAACACGCTGTGCTCTCTGCAGGAACAGGACAATAGCTATCTGAATGCTTATGATAACAAGCATCCTCCAGCTACTGAGGCTAATGCAATAAAGAGAATTTCATTTTGGCATAAGAAAAACCAAGGGAATGACATGATGTATTGGCAAGATTTAAATTATATGAGGCCAAAGAGGCAGCTTAAAAGAGTTAGGCCTTTATTAATCGGGTAACAGTGATGCTGCATTTCAAAACAGGCTTAACACCTGCTAATTTCATTTCAGTGCTGCTGAAGCTGAGTCAGCTAACTGAGCCTGCTGTGGATCAGGCACGTTCAGAGCAGCAAAGCTATTCCTTGCCTTCATGAAAATGTTTCTCTCTCTTTAGTAAGGACACTGAGGGGAAAGGGGGGAGAAAGGATGACCTCCTTTCTCCTTTAAACATACCAATGTCCCATGCAGCTGGAGCTGCAGGGAAAGAGGATAAGACGCGTCACAGAATTCAAGGAAATCCCATAGCTAATGATTATATATTTGCAATGCTGGTGGAGGAAAAGGCATATTACTCTTTCACTTGCAGACAGAGGTTTGAAACAAGCATAGTGGCTTTCTGAGCCATAGCATAGGTCAGTGAGAAGCCAAGAAAAGACTCAGTCCCAGGTCCCCATCACCACAGGGCACTACAGATTCTCCCCCTCATTGCTCTCTATCTCCCGTTAGCTAATCATCTCCTCCATGTTTCTCCATTCATTGTGAGTTCCAATTTTATGGGAAACTCAAGCAGCACCCAAGAAAGTTCATCTGTTGTTCCTATCCACATTGCACGTGTAGACTTTTTAAAAATATCGTGTTGTTCTTCCACACACTGAGTGTGATAGATGCTACCATACATGCATGCCACAAGACACCACGACCCTGAGGTGTGTTATGAGATTGTAGAACAGCCACAGCCCAGATACAGAGCCAGCACGGATCTGCCTGGGCTCCATGAGCACAGGTTAAACGTTACCGGAACCAGACTGTACTGTTGGCTTCACAGCATCATCCTGGCTCTGAAAGCAGCTCAACAACTTCTGCTCTCTACTGAGAAGTCATTCTATGCTAGTTCTGCTGCTTGCAGAGCATGTTTTTTCAGTTGCCAATTTGTTTATTAAATGCTAAGGTTTCTGTAACTTCACAGAGGACTCGAAGCAGATTCTACAATAAAAACATTAGCGTGGGCCAAATTATTTTTGTCTCGCTTTCATTCTGCTTGGAGACAATTTTCACCCCAAGGCTAACGATGAGAACCTTGAGTCAGATTTTTATAATGGAGGCCATTTGCATCCTAAACTGTAACATTTGCTGTCAGCAGAAATTATAATGCTAAAACTCAATAGTTAATGATACAGCACACACCTCATTTTCTATGACAAAAAGGCATAGTAACAGCAAGAAGCACTGCAAACCAACCATAATACACTGAAGCAAAAATTACTTTACCAGGATTGGCACTTACTACAAGCTTAAATGGTTCATATATGGTACAAAAGGCAATTGTGAAATGACTGGAAATGTATTATGGAAGAAGGTAATTGGTCTTGCTGAAGATTGATTGAAGGCCATTTATTGAAAGTAGTCATCAGAAACAAAGGTTGGATCGTCTTTTCAGTTTCACCAGAGTAAAGCACTGCAATGGCGAGATCAAAGAAAATCCTAGATTTTTACTGTCTAAAGAGCTCAGGCTGATTTGAAGCAAGTGCTTCAACAGAACATTGGATCCTACCAGTCCTTGCTGGACAGCTGGAGTCTAACATTCTCACTTCTAACTGAAGTTCAAAATGTCCCCAAAGTAACTCTAGTTATTTGTGTCATTCAGCCAATATTGTTGTTGTTGAAGAACAAAGCAATGTGTTTAAAGTCTGTTGTCCTAAGCAGAGGAGCTGACTAAACTTCTCATATCAGGACCTTTTCCGTAGTTACAGAAGCAAAGATCACTGTTGGCCCTTTCTGACTCCATTTCATTAAAGTGAATGAAGCGACAGTCTTGCAAGAATACCCAGCAAGCACCTCAGTAAGGCACAGAGCCTGGGGCATCTGCCTGTCTGCTGTACATCTGGAGAGTGCAGATAAGACAATGAGGGAAGGGAGACATTTCTGTGCAGTAACAAACAGAATTTTGTTTCGTGTCATGTAGATGCTCTACAATCACCAGAGGTCTGCAGTTAGTGAGGGATAATTGCAGCAAATACTTGGGTCACCTGAAGAACACTTGCTACAATTGACCAAACAACACTTCAACACCAGCCATCATCATCCCTCACCCACCTTCTCTCCCTCCCCCCCAAAAAAACTAACAAATTCTTATGCATTTACAACAAATCTAGGTGAAGGTTAACTTCTCCACAGTTTTTCTTTTCCCTCCTCTCCAAAGCCCTGTAAGTTATCCTGTTCTGGCACTGGTATAAACCACCACAAACTCCTGTAAACTCCATCAAGAGAAAAGTGTCCTAAGTAAAAGGACACAGCTTAGAAATGTAGACCATAGAGAAAGAAGCCACAAGATTCGTCTTTCTCATTTCAAGCATAAATCTGGTCCTTCGTAAGTGCGTCATGTGGCCTGCTGCAGTGAGACAGCCGTGCCAGGAGGATGCAGCAGACACAGCAGGTCAAGTGCTTTCTATTCTCCAGGATCAAACATCTTTCATCCTCTGTTCAACGCTTTTTATTTTCAGAGCTCTCAGTACAATAGGTGTTGAACTTCTCTGAAAAGCAGTTGGTGCCTGTCTACCAGGAGCTGCTTTATTGATTGCTCTGGAAGTAGACAGACATACATTTCATAAACAGCGTATCAAAGTTCAAGCATAATGGCTGTGGGCAGAACACCAGCAGAAGTATAAGAAAAAGTTTCTACTAGTAAGCGAATTAACTTGACCATATATCACTGAATTTCCTTGTACGCCCAAGCAACCCACAAACAATAACTGTGGTTACAGAGGATGATAAGCAATCACAACAAAAATAAATTTAAAAAAAGCAGGGCTCGTATCTGTAGCAACCCACAAACAATAGAAAAACCTCAATCCACTTTGCTGGGTCACAGATGTTCTTCCCCAGCAGACTGTCCTAGGGCACGTGGAAGAGCCAAGGAGCAAACTGAGAAAACAACCTAGGTGACCTCACCCCATCTTCAAAATCCATAGGAGAGAAACACCACAAGTGAAAACATTCAGCACCAAATTAGCCCACGGACCACTGCTTACCTGCAACTTGAGAAACATTCAGGCTACAAGCTTCATAAAAATGTATGGTACAGAACTAAGGAAGTGGCCTAGAGGTAGGATCTTCCTCAGATATACCTTAGGGTAGCTGCATTCCCTTAATTGATAGCTCACTGAAGTATGGCTGTGTAACATCTGCTGGGAAGGTGGGAGTTGCAGGATGGAGTTCAGGGGCAGTGTGCAGCTGGCAGTGATTGAGGGCTTCTCATCAGCTAAAAGGGTGCCCCACCACCAGCTGCTGCTGGGGAAGGTGGAGTGACCCAGGGGAGAGGCTGTTTGGAATGATTTACAAAACTAATAGCTCAAAGAAGGAAAATGTACCCCCCTGTTCTGTTCTAACAACACAAAGAAGTGTATCTCACTCCAAAGGGAAGCCTTCTGGGGTCGCTGTGTGTCTCTTGCTGTGCTATGGGGTAATTAGAGCAGTTAAGAATGAGACACAGTAGCTGACCTGATTTCCAAAACCGTCTAGATCTTTGGCATTTTGTTAACAGCAGCTTGCTAGCCTGAGCTGCAGGACAGCACAAACGAGGAGTAGGAATAAAACCCAACAGTGCAGCAGTCACATACATTCCTTTGGGATATTTCTCTTCAGACTCTGTAAGAAGAGATGAGACATGAACGTGAATGAATCTCCCCTTAGTACTGGAGGTCTGCCTGGTAGCAGAGAGTTCCTGGAAAAAGAAAGCTGATCTCTCTAAGGGAAGATTTGTTTTTTCAAATGACATTTCGAGACAAGGAGGCCCGTTTGTATTTCAGCTGCAACAGCTAAGCAATAATATTAATGCTTTGAATTTGCACAGCGCTTGCCACCAGCAGCCCTAGCATGCTGACAAATATTTAAAGTGGGATTTTCCAGAGCATCTGTAGGAATTAGAAATGTAAATCACAGGATCTGTTATGCTTTAAAAGAAATCACACTCTTCATTTCCTTCTTGTGGTGCTTGTGTGCTTTTGGTGTTATCAGGGCCAGTGTTCTCAGTGCTGCTAAAAACTCATGCCTAAAATTAGGAATGAGACTTCAGCCCCCAAATAAATATAACCTCAATAAAAGTGACATGTTTGTGGTGGTTTTTTTTTTTAAGCTATTGTTGTGTCCCTGAAGAAAACACCTTTCTTTAGAAGATTATTTAAATTCTATATCTTTTCACTTAAAAGTGAACATTATCTATCAGCCACAAAGAGACATCCCTAAATCATCTCGCTTTTTTGTTTTCAGAACTTCTCAAGGACATTTCATATCCATACCTTCTCATTTGCACCAACCATCACAGCTCTAAAATTAAAACTGCTTTATCTTGCACTCGGTTTTCTCCCAGATCTGTTGTGTCCAGGACATTGAACGATTCCTTTAGAGGAGAGTGCTGGCACAAGGATATACGAGATGTGGAGCTCAGTGCCAGCTCCTAGAAAGCACTGCCCTTCCCTGGAGGGTGACCGCTGCCTCCCTTTGCACCAACAGCACTGAGGCCACCGTGGGGATTCCTCAGCTGCCACTGCAGCAGCCAGGCACAGGGCAGTGCTAATTTATCACTGACTTCAGAGGCAGCGAGCTGCTGGCTTCCCTGCGGTCCTCATTGCAATGTCTACAGGTAAAAATCTCTGCTAGAATGATGATTCACTGAGTATCTGGGGCAGTGGCTGCTCCTCTGGATCAGGACTCTGCACTGAGCCCTGCTGAGAGCCAGACCCTTGCCAGGCTTGTTTATATATTATATATAATATTATATATATGTCAGCATGCTGGAAAGGAGTCTTTGGATATATTTTCAGCTCATGTCAGAACACCACACACGTTATTCTGAACCCAGCACTTAAATTCCAAAATACTTTAAATCTGCTCTCATATTTGATATTTTTAAATAAGAAATGTTTACATATACATTGCCATGGTGACAGGAAAATAGAAATAAAGACGAGGAAAAAATTTTCCTAGTGCACTGAACTCTATTTAGAATACAATCACCGTTAATATATCCAAGCTGATCAATAGGGTCTCAACATCTGCTGACTACCATTTTGATCAATAGCAGTGTAGGTATGAAGATAAATTCCCATTACAAATTCCTTATAGATTTTAAGCTCTCTGCCTAGTTCATCAGCATCCACCATATAATTGACCTCAGAGAATGTGACTCAAACTCTTCCTCCAGCACCAGTCCTCCCCATGGTGAACCCCCATCCTCTGGCTGTTGGTATTACTGCCCAACCATGGTCCACGCCAGGTGACAATGTTTTCTTGGGGTTTGCTTCTCAGACCACTGAGGCACCCCAACCTGCTGGCTGCCTCCACTGACATCTTCCCTGAGGTCTTTCAGATCTTGGGTAGGAGTAGGCTCCAGTCCAGATAAACCATTCCAGCAAGATGGGTCCTCTTTTTTGAAGGACTGTTGATTTTCACAGTAGTTGAGCTCTCAGAACTCTAGGAACACAAACACAGGCAGAGTCATTCTGTAACATGAATGTTCTCTAACCATAAATAAATATCCTTAAGAGTTTCCCAGGCATCAGAACAAATCTTACTTTCAGGAGAGTTCTATTTTAAAGGATGAGAAAGCCAGGAAAAAAAAAAAAAAAAAAGTAAAACCAACCCTGCTGCTCTGCAATGGCAATTTTTATTGAGGTCTGAAAGCAAATTGCTTGCACTTGCAGGCAGTACTTAGTAAGGTCTGGGAAGAGGAGCAAGAACATACCACTTGTCTCCCTCGCACTGCCATTTATGACGGGGTCACAGACTACAGTTCTACTCTTGGATTTTAGCTATTGAAGTTACAGTCCCCGAGGGCTGTAAAAAGTTGCTGCTGTCATATATAAATCAGTCTTTTTCATAAAAAATGACACGGTTTGACATGGAAGGATAACATTATAAGGTAACTACCGCAGAGGTTTCACGCTTGGATATGTTCAAAAGGATGTTTCTCTTTATCCCTGACCACAAATACTCACTGATGGTTTCTTGTCAGCTGCTTGAAAGCCTTAAAGAACTGCTATCTCCTCTGGGGTCTGCTCTGTGGCCAAACTTCTCATTCACCTTTGATCATCCTCCAGGGTGTTTTTGGTGTGCTTTTTTTTTTTTCCCTCCCCTGACTGAAGAATTTCAAATGCTACAGTTTGTTCCGGTGTGTGGGGGAGAAGAAGAGGAGGTGAAGATTTTTACAGGCATGCACGTACATCTTGTACAAATACACACCCAAATCCTACCTCTGTGAGAACACAAGTTCTTCTATTTTTAAGATTTTGTAAAATTAGATGCAGAAGGAAAAGGGATTTACTGCCCCAGCTCCCTTGTCTCTCACACAGCCATTTCACTCGAGGAAAAGGAGTGATTTAAAGGTATTTCCCATGCAGGCACTCAGGGCATGCTGTGAGTTCATCTCCCTTTGGGGTGTTAGCACCCAGCCTAGGGCTGTTGGCATAGTCTCACTCCAGAGCAGCCTGTCCTATACACAGATAGATCGCTAGGTCTTTTCATTGGCTACACTTGCAAGCAGGCAGCTGCACCAAGTTTTACAGATTATGGAGCAGCTGTGCCACATTTTTTCCCGTTTGGCCCAGGTTGGGTGATTGCCTCTGGATATAAACAAGCACCTGGTACAGAAATGTGTTGGTTTTGGAGCAGGCTGGGAGCTGTAGTCTTTTGGGAGATCTGTGTCAGGGAGGAGGACAAGAGGCTGCAGTGCAACTTTTATGGCTCCTCCTGATTTGTATGTTAGAGGTTTGCATTTTGCATCCCTACATGAGTTTTTCTGTACTAAGTACATAATCTATGTCTCCACGAGTACAGAAATATAACAGACTGCTACTTCATCATAGAAAGACATGGAAGTTGAATTATCTGAGTGCCCCTGAGTGCTGGGTTTGGTGCCTGTGGGTCACAGCTGTAGGGCAGCCTCATGCAGGTGCAGGCAGGGCCAGCAGTCAGCATGGCAGGGATATCTCAGGATGGCTGTGGAGCACTCGAGTCCCTGCACCCAGCGTTTGGTTCTGATGGGGGAAAAGGATCTGTGCTAATGATGTATTTGATATGAAAGAGCACAGTGCTTCAGTGCGTAGCTTGCAATAAGAGGAAAGCTGATATGACAGCTGAGGCTTCGCAGTGGTAGAAATGGGCCTTTCAAACTCTCCGACAGGGAAAAAACAAACGTTGAAGGACAAATCCAGAGCCAGCATAACAGACTGGTGGGTTTGGGGGGACATGCTTCAAATAAGCCTCCTTTGACAGCTGCTATATTTGTCTCGCACTGCCTGTTCTCCACACAGCATCCCCTCCCCCAGGAGCCCCTGGGCTGTAGGTAGAATGGGATTTAACCAATTCCTGAGAGTGCAGCCAAACCCATGGCAGGCAGCACAACAAGAGTGAGCACTGGGCTGCAGGTGGGAGAGAAGTACCTTGGTATAGCCTGGGCTGGCTGTGCTGTGAGGAAGGGCTGCGGGATGCTTGGGGTGCTTTGGTTAAGGAGCAGGGCTAACATGCACAGAAGGCATTCACAAATGGCAGCAAAGTTGGGGTTTTTTTTGTTTTTTTTTTGCTCACTGACAAAAATAGATGGATTGAATGCAGGGATCACAGAAAGGGGAAGCTGGGTTTAGAGTCTGAGCGGGGTGTGTCAGCACACTGTTATCTCTGGTTATACATAGCAAGGAGAGGAAGAAATGGGATACATGGGGAAAGACATGGAACACGTGGATGTACCCATGGTTACTCAGCAGCCTAACAGCACAGCTTGGCATTCTGTGCCATGCACTCTCCTCCACCATTGTTCCCAAAACAGCACTGGGTACGTCGTGGTGCTCTGCATTAACAATCAGCCCAGACATTAACTGCTGCAGTTCTGCCTGGTGCTCTCCATTCTCTATTTATTTTTTAATTATTATTTTTTTAATGATGATGCTTCTTTCTTCACTTTATCCCGCCGAGCCCTCGGGGACATTGTTAGTGCTCAGTGTCACTTGACCTTCTCTGTCTCAGTGACCTGCCACATCTCAACACTCTCCTTCACACACTGGCCAATTTTATCCATTTAAATGCTTCCTTAGATACATCAAAAGAAGTTGTATAAATACGTTCTTTTTTTTTTCTTTTCCCACCAAGCTTTGTGTTTCTTCTTCATTTATTTTCTCTCCTACTAATTGTGTATCTGCTTTCATTGGCCAGACCTTCAGTATCAGGTTACTGATACTGCAGACGCATCCTTTTTAAACTGAACTATGAACTAAACTATTTCTTAATTTATCTTTTATGTGCTACAATTAAATACACTATCATTCCAGCTTGTAAACATACCAACATATTCCATGAATGCTTTGCCCTTTTTGAGTTATAGAAAGTTTAATTTCCATAAAACCACACAAAGAAACTGTGTCATTTTCTACAGTCTCACAAAATTGAAGGGGCAGAAAGACTGCCAGGATGACTGCTGAACAAATGGCTGCACAAATAAAACAGCTCAAGCATACAACGCACT